CCCCCCTTCCCGCCCCCCCTTCCACTGCAGCACATGGGAAGCAAAAGTTTTCCTCCTCCTCCTCTTCCTCCTCCCCCTCCCCGCCGCCCTCCGCCCCGGCCCCCGGGCCGGTCCCCCGGAGCCGTTTGGAGCCGAAGGATGCGTCTGCCGGCACCCCGGCCGCTCCCCCCGGACCTGGGTGCTGCGCTGCGCTTCCCTCCGGGAGCGGGGGGGGCATGAGGAATAAAACGTTCCTGGAGCGTTTTCCGCTGCTCTGAGGGCTGGAAAGGAGCGAAGGCGACACTTCGACCGCATCTTGCAGGGAGATTCTGCGAATTTACAGGGGGAAGGGGCTCGTCGGGCAGAAAGAATCAGATGCTTTAGCCACGGCGGAGAGGCAGCGCTGCACCCGCTTTGCTTCGGCCCCATCATGGGTACCGGCATGTGCTCGAGGAGGCAGAAGGGGCTTCTGCAGACCGCGTTTTGCCTGGTGACTCTAGCGTGTTTGGGCTCGGGAGTTTTCATGTACAACCACTTGCAGCAAAAGGTGCGGAACGCCGAAGCCCTGGCCCAGAAATACAAACAGCAGCAGGAAGCGCTGTCTGCCCAGCTCCAAGGTGAGTGACCCGCTCCCTGGGTGTGCGCACACGCTCGCTGGACTTCCCTCTCCCAGCGTTCCCTCCCGGGGCTTTTGTCGCCCGGGCCAGCGACAAACAGGGTGCCTTTGGGGAGCAACGTGCGGCTTTTGGCTTTAAAGAGCTCTACGAAGATGTTGTCGCCTGTTTCCTCCCCACCCCCCCGTCTTTGCTGTCTAGAATTAGAGTAGCCTTGAATCTGAAGTGCTGGAGCGAGGGGAGCAGAGTGTGTGCTGGATTGGTGAGTTCAGCTGCATCACGTTTATTCCATTTTTTCTCCATTTAGTTCCTTTTGGCCGTAAAGACTCGTCCTATGTCACTCTACATGAGAAGCAGGAAAAAAATGCAAACAGAGGCTGTTTGGGCAGACTGAGATGTGGCTCCACGCTTGAGCCCGCAGTAGCATCTGTCCAGAAAGGGAATAGAGAGGCAAGGGGTCCTTTAGGAAAGTTTGTTGTCATCCCATCTACTGCCCATCGCCTTAGCAAGGAAACAAATCTATCTTCTTCTCAAGAGATTGATCTGGGACTAGAAAAGTCTTGCTGGCTTGTTTGAGGCCGGTTGATGCTGCAGCACAGAGCTCCCCTAAAAAGCGGGGAGAGGGAGGAAGAACTGGCATTTCTGAGCCTCCCGACCAGGGTTTGGTTCCTCTGGCAAGAGCTGCCAGAAGGCGTGCGTGATGTGTATATTCCCCTTCCCCCTCTCGTTTGTCTTCCTTACATAAATGTCTAACTGTGGGAGAATGACATTTTAGCCCGTGGAGAGATCCCTGTAGGGAAGGCTGAGGACACATGTTACTCCATTGCTGAACTCTTAATTTCTTTGTCTAGTCTGTCATTCTAGCCTTACTGCCTCTGCCAAAGCTACATTTCCAGCACCTGACACTAGATTTGGAGTTTCTCAGAGGGATTTTCTTAGCTCCCTGTAGAGAGGTTTGGTGGGAATCCACACTCTGGTAGCCAGCAGTTGGGTGTGTAGTGCTGGAGGATGGGTTGGTTGTGGAGCACCCACAGAATGAATTTTATGTGGACAAAATATTGTTTACTTGTGGTCCTAGTGACTCGAGGTCAAGAGGTTCATTGAACACTTTTTCTTCTAACAAGTGGTTTTAGATTATCGTGTTTAGATTGAGAGCTCTTCCTCAGGCTAAAACCAACTATGGGGTATCCATTATGACCTCTGTTGACATATCCAGTGACATTGGTTCTACAGCTTGTGTTGCTGGGGAATTCTGCAGATCTGTGACTCCACATATGTGCCTTTTGGGGTTAAATGTTTTCTGGTGGTTTTGTGTTGTGATGCAAATGTAACATTGTGCATATGCTTGGTGTGCTCAGGGCTGTGTATTTCTACCTGTAAACTGGGAAAGCAGAGTGTGGGGTTGTGTTTGTGTCTCAAAGAAACATGCTTTAAAAAAAAAAAAAATCAATCTTGTGAATTGATCTAGGGTGTGTATAGATTCACTGCTGTTATTTTACATTTTGTTTCCATTTTTTCTTTCTCTATCACAAGGCAGTCAGACAGCTACAGCTCCTGATGTGTTTCACAGTCCCAGGCACAGCGATTTCCACCTGCAGCTTGATTCTGAGATGCAAGGATCAGCAGGGCAGAAGTTAGCCCACATTCCTTTCTGATGTGTCAGCATCTCTTGCTTCTCTTGGAGAGGGGCTGGTTCTTCAGAGAATAAGATGACAGTGGTAGCCTCAGGGAGCCCCAGTTTTGGGAACAGCAGGCTGAGGCAAACAACTGAGACAGGCTCATAATAGTTTTTCCACCCAAATATATTTGAATGGCAGAGCCATAGCCTGTTGCTGGGGTTTCTAACCCTCTGTCAGCCCTCCCATTCCTAAATACAGTTGTTGCCATGGAGACCCTTTTTATTTTGAGAAGACATTTACTTGTCCAACAATTTTAACAAAGGCAAAGCTTCTTTTTGGATTTGGCTGGTGGGAGAAGCCTAACGACTGGCAGATAGGAACCATGTTCGTGGAAGTCTGGAAGTGCAGAGCTATCCTGAACATACAGCCAGGGCTCGCATTCTCTTGTCCTGCTGCCCAGATTCCTGCTGTGCTCGGGTCCTGGAGGGTGGGGGGTCAGGGCTCTGGGCCCTATCCCTGCCCCTCTGCTGAATTGTGTCTTCTGCATCTGATTCCTGTCTTTCCAGCCCTACAAAAGGAGGACGTGTTATTTTGAGGTGGAATTCAGTACTTTGTCTCAGCTATCAAATCTTACCCTTCTTATATCTGAGCACAGTACATGGTTAGTGCTTCTGGTAGCCTCTGTAAATAAAGCTTCAAAGTGTAGTGCTGGGCCAAGAGCTGAGAGGGAAGAGGAAAGCACATGGATGGAGGAGGGAGCAAAGCTGTCTTGAAACCAGCACTGCCCGTCCCATGTGCTGCACATGGATGGATCTCATCTACTCTTAAAATAAGAGCAAAGCAGCTACCGACTTTGCTGTAGGGTGAAACACATTGTGTGAGAAGAAAGGGAGGTGGGGTGTGTGTGTGTGTGTTTGTGTGTGAGCCTGTCCAACCTCTTTCCCCGTGGTTAGTACCCCTTGCTCTTGATGCAGCAGACAGAGGTAGCTGGTTGCTGTGACTCAGTAGACATTCTTTGCGTACTGTGGTCCAGATGGAATCTAGAAGGAAGATCTTGGCTTTTCTTTCCCTCCATCTCTTCTCTTTCTGCTGGGTGGGGTTGGAGGTGTGTCTGAAAGTGCATGGAGACACCTTGCTGAATGCTGGGCTCTCCCTTACGGGCTGTGATCTGGGGGACTCTGCTGCTGCCACGAGGCTCAGAGGGGATTAGAGACACAGCCTGGCCAGCTGTGACCTGATGTGCACTTCGGGTGAATCTGTTCTGTCTCAGCCCCCACCCCACACTGATGCTGTGCTGTAGCAGGTGGCTTTAACTGAAGCGCTGCTTTGCCACCTTCCACTTTCCATAGGTGTGTGCCTGTATGTGCATGCACGTGCTTCTGCCTGGGTGCTCTGAGTGCTGTTAAAGAGATTTTATTTTGGTCAGTTCACTAACAAACAGCACTCTTTGAACAGGTAGGAGGGAAGGGTGCATTTGTAGTGCCATCCACTTCTGTCTGACACTCCTGGTGTGGCCTGACAACGGCACACATCGGACCCTTGTCTGGTTTGGAGGAATTTTCTCTCTCACAGGAGGCTGCCCTTGCACTGTGGCTGAGCAAGAGTGCAGTGCTCCTGGCCTCACCATTGCGTGTCTTTTATCCAATCTGTCTCTCCTTTGCCATCTCTCTGGCTCGGAGAGGGAGGTATGATGAGTCTGGCTTTCATTCTGCTCTCCTTGTCCCTTCCTCTGGATGGTTCTTGAGCCCGAGTGACTGGTGCCATCGGTGATTAGTTGTGAGGTGACTGGATGGAGCCTGGCAGGAGTATTTGATGCCCCTAACAAGGACAGCAACAGAGGAAAAAAGGCTTTTTCTGGGTGATTAGCTATGAGAGGGGAAGAAGCACGATGCTGTCTGGAAGTTAGTGTTGATCTCTGCTGAGAGCTGCTTGGAGCTGCGAGCCACGGGCAGCGTGACAACTCTTCCCGCAGTATGTGCTGTTGGCATAGAAATGGCCTGACGAACTGTGCGCCGTGAGTAGCTTTAGCAGAACCAGAGCAGCAAATCTGACACCTCTGTTGCCTTGCTCTGTGAAAGCAGGGAGCTAGCATGCACCCGGGGCTTTCCTGGGCAGCGGTAAAATGAAACCACTTGAACAGAAAGAGAGTAAAACCTGGGACCATTGGCGAGACTGGAATCGCTCTCCCTTTATGGATCTCTTAAACTCTCCCTGGCAGATGTTTATCTTAGCACTCTGGGGTATATGAGGCAACCCCTTCACACAACCACCCTGTTTTCTGTGGTCTTTTAAAATGTCTGTGGAAGGCCTGACCTGTTCTTCTTTCCCAAAGGCAAGGCACTGCAGGGGATTTCATTGTTTCAGCAGTTCAAGTTCTGCATTTCAGCTCATTTGGCAGCAGGTGATGGTGCTTTAGTGCTGAGTTCTGGCTGAATTCCAGCCTGGATTTAGACACTGACCACCCTCCATTCTCTTTTGTAATTGCAAATTGTTAAAGACTTCCTGGCTTCCTGTCCTCTGAAGCTATACAGTGCCATCTTGGTCTGCTAAGTTGTTGCTGTGTTCCACCACAAAGATGAGTAAGAGACACTAGTTTATGCAGCGCTTATCTGCTGGTTTGTGTAAGACTGAATCCAGCTTTTCTGGGCTCTAGAGACCTGGAGGAATGGCAGGAGCAATTACAACTTTTTGTTTTCTTCTAGTCACTGGAGGTTAATTCAGCTTATTTTACAAAAAAAAAAAAAAGTGTCAGGAGAGCCAGATTTTAATCCTAAATTTCTGAATAAACAGCCTATGACATGGAGTTGTTCCTGAAGACTCATGTCATCTTCTCCTGAGGGAGATCAGAAGTGACAGAGGGAGTTAGGTGGGTCAGGGGAGACAGCTTGGATGTGAATGCCTGGGGAATGGCTCCTCAACCTGGGGGGAGACTGAGCTTGGCACGTGGATAAACCCAGGCTGGCAGAGCTTAAACATAGTCCTTGTACCTGCAGCGTCTAAAACCAGCATAGTCCAGGAAAAGCCAACTTTCTCTTGTCCTGCTTGAGCCCTCGATTTCAATACAGGAAAAGTCACTGTCTGGAGTCACTCTGGAGGCAAGTTAATTTTATCACCCCTGCCCGGTGCCATTCAGGCGTGGTGGCAGTCTCTGTGCAGAGGGGATGGAGGAGCCTGTTGCAGCTGAGTGCTGTGACTCAGGGAAAGCTCTTGGTTAGCATTCAGACATCAGAGCAGATTAAAATCACCATCCATCAGCAAGCTTCTCTGGCACTTTCATTTGTCATGTGGCTGCTGTACGAAGCAGCCTCATCCCTCTCCCTCCTCGGCTCCTGTGCAGAGTACAGATGCTCTTTTGTGTGTAATGGGAGAGGGAGCTGCTTGGCTCACTTTTCCTTAGTGGCCTGAGAGCCAGTTAACGGTTGGGTTGTGGAAGGGGAGAAGATATCTCTGCTGATGATGCCTTTACAGAACACATGACCTGCAAGGCTCTGGCTGTCTCAAGCCTGGTAGTGAACTTGGCCTGCAAATACACTGTTTAGCCACTGGCTACTAAAGACAGCTCTTGGCCTTGGCAGCTTTGACTCCAAAGTCAAACCTGAGTGCAGATACTCACAGGATGACAGATAGGTGTGTTATATCAGGAATATCCATTGTATCTAGTCCAACCATCCCCACCATGGTCCAGACCTTATCTGCTTACATTTTGCAAAGAAGTGCAAAGTGGTTGTAGCTGGACCTGACCCTTTCATTGTTCAGGACATCTGAAGCATTTCAGGACTGTTGATTTGCTTGGTCTGGATTTTACATGTGAACTACTGTGTGCTTAAGCCTAGAAACCCAGAGTGGTGCAGGCCATTCAAAACAGGCAAGGGTCTTTTGCCCCAGTCTGCTCTCCTGGGCACTTTTGGCCCCGTCCACAGCAGCATTTGAGATCTCCATGTGCCCCTGTTCACCTGACCTGAGAGAGACCTGTTTTGGGGAAAAGAATATGTGGGACGAAATTTCAGGGTTTATCTCATGCTCTGCCTCTTTCTGCTTCCCTAGTTGTGTATGAGCACAGATCCCGGCTAGAACGGTCCTTGCAGAAGGAGCGAGGGGAGCACAAGAAGACAAAGGAAGGTGAGACTCTTGCATGGGTGGCACAGCCCTGGCCAGCCAACCCTCCAGCTGTCCTGTGGGGAGATGTGTGTGTTGTACCCAAAGCGTTTTCTGCCTTCAGGGCCATGTGTGGATGTTACTGAACACCCCCCAGGTGAGACTCATCCCTGGTTTGTTGGTGGAGAATAGTTAACTGACTTGTCCATTGCCCATGGGCAAAAGGTGCTGGGAGGTGGGCTCGGTTCTCTCATAATCCTACATATGTCCTCAGTCCTTTAAGTGATAATTAAACCTGGCACTAGAACATCTTTTTTCTCTTGAAACTATGTAAACTTTCTTAGAAAACTGATCTGGAGATGCTGAGCTCTACAAGTGCTTAATAATATTAGCATCACTGCATTATATAATACACGGACAGTACAGACTGTCAGATCCGTTAAAGTTGATGTACAGAAGTAGATAAAGACATGCAGGGTATTTTCAGACCATGAAATACAAGAGAAAGCAGAAAGCAAACAGATTAGCTCCTGTATCTTTCCTTGGAGTAAGTAGTGTGTTTGGATGTCAGACCCCTTTGCACCTGATTATTGTTGGCAACTTAATAGCCTGGGTTTTATCTTCAAAACTGGTATGTGGAGTAACATCACTACTTACTCCTACATGCATTGTGTTTCTGGAAAGGCTGACATACGGCATCCAGGTTTGCCTGGAGCTGTGTGGCTGCATAGCTAAGGGAGAAGCTGCATTTCTGCCTCCTTCCATTTATTTGGTCAGGACTGACTGGAAAATGAAGCATCCTAACAAGTTATCTTGTCATGGGCCCTTCCCGTTTGTAAGAAGGTGTGGCACAGATGAGATCAGCAGATGAGTTCCTTTTGGTCTCGCAGAAGCTTTGATTTCCCTTTTTCCAGAGTTGTCTCTCATTTCAGAGCACCCCAAATCCTTACAGTGCTTCAGTGACATCAAAACGGAACTGTTTGTGTGCTGAAGTAGGAAGTCACCGATGCACTTGCCTGTAGAACGGGGAAGGAAGGACATTTGGGCCAGTCTAGATGGGTGGACAGCTCTCCTGGGAAATACCATCTTTCAGAGGGCATTGAGTAGAGTCTCCTAGCAGCATCTGCATTCCAACTTGTTCAGTTGCAGCCATTTGCTCAGCAAGGGGCTGATTTCCTTCTTCCCTCCCCAAAATATAAACCAGATCCATGTTAAATTCCAGCTCATTAAATTGTCTTCTCTTCTTCCATTTCTAGATTTTTTAGTGTATAAGTTAGAAGCTCAGGAAGCTCTCAACAAGGAGAAGGTAGGTATGGTTTGTTCCTCAGAGTATGTGTGTGATAATGGTAAAGATTTTTCTAGTATCTCCACAGTCGTGAGGCCAGTGCTGCTGTCTGGAAGGCATGAAAGGCTGCGAATGTGTATGGTACAAGGTGAACTTTGGCTGACTCCACCTTGCAAGGCTGTTGGTGTGTGAGGATTTACTTCCTCTTCAGGAGAGCTTGTGTTGTGCTTAGAGCAACTCTGCCTGTTCTCCCGTGTGTGGTAGCAGAGCAGATGATTGTCAGCTTTTGGGCTGCAGTCTGAACAGGGAATTGCTGTTCCATGGTACAGAAGAGTCCTGGGGAAACTAAATGCAAGGCACACCACAGGGAACGTGGAGAAGAAAGGTCATGGTCTTGTTGGGGAAATCATACCCATTGTTTTCTATCTCCAGAGATTGTCAAATGATTTCCACTAGCCTGTGGACTGAGTTGACAGGAGTGTTAGGAAGAAACGCATCCCTGGGTTAAGTTTCTCCCATTCACTCGAAGTTATAAGGCTGTTTTTTTTCCTTTCTCAGAGTATCTGTTGATGAGATGCTGGAGAATAGGAATTACTTTTAGCTTGCTCATCTGTGGGTGAATGTCATCCTGTTACAGAAAGAAACTCATGGGTGAATATCTGAATACTCGAATGGCTGGGCAGCTCCCTTGCAATTTGTGCTCATTTGTTGGTAATATTTCATACCATATTGTGTATTTATAAGTTAAATTGTGCGTTGTAGTGGAAATCTCAGCATGGTGGTTAGTTTGCACTTCCATGGTGCTGCTTAAGTGTCTCAGCCATGCTGCTGGTTTCTGTCGGTTGAGCTTGGTTTGATAGCTGTACCTAGTTACAGGAATTTGCTTTAGGCTTACTCAATTGCTTAGGGATCAATTTTTTGTTAAACGGTGCAATTTTTGTGTGTAGGCAAAAGCTTAGCTCTGGTGCTGTCTGCCTCCCCCTCAGCTGCTGCAGAGTGTGCTCAGCCTGCTTGGGGCGGGGGGCATTTACTGTGCCAAGCTCTTCCAGCGCTGGGCCTGTCCTAGATAAAGAACTGAAGACTGGGGAAAACTACTCTGCATGCGAATCTAGAAAGTGCAATTAATTAGCTGGTGGCTAGGTGGCTTTGAAAGGTGGATGTTCTGCTGGTCACCTTGGTGGGCTTGTTCCCCGTCACCATGTGCGTGCCTGCGTGTGCGAGGGGGCAGCAGGAACTGGGCAGGTGCTCCTGTGTGGTTCTCCCTGCCTCGGGTTTTTCTGGGATCTAATGGCACTGCTGAATGTTTTTTTTCTTTCCAGCAAGATTCTATGAACCGATATGGGGCCCTCAGTTCCCAGCACAAGATACTGAAGGTAAGGGAGGAGTCTGGTTTCACGCTCTTCTGCTGCACATTAGAGAGTGCTCCCTGGAGGGACAGTCGGTGCTTTCCCTTACCAGAGATGCTTAAGAGAGTCGGAGGGTTTCCTGGACCTAGTGCCAGCACAGAGGGAAGAGACCATGCAGTGGTGTTGATCTACATTCCTTCCTGACTCTTCAGGTTCATGGGAGTTTCCTACTTATTCTGTTGGGCTTTGTATCAGATTACAGCCTTCACCCACACCTCCTTTCCATCGTAGTCTTTGTGCAGTTTATCACCCAGGAGTTCTGTTGTTCAGCGTGTTCTTTGCTGGGTCTCTTAGTGTGAAAATGGGTCTATTCATTGTAGCTTGCCCATTGGGCTAGTACAATGTATTCCAGTCTGTGTGAGAGGCTCGGAGAGGGGCAGTTTATAGCATTTTATAGCTTATCATGTGTTCTACCTGAAGCATATCTTAATGATAAAGTTTCCTTTTGTTAGAGCAATGCAACCGTGGCTGGTGATGGCAGGTTTTAAATGTTTTTTTTAGTTAGAGCGTTGGCAGTGAAATGGTAATATAATTCTGGGATGTAGAAAGAGGGCTGGGTTCCAGCAATCTTTCACACCGCTGGGTTGTGTTTCCTGAGCAGAGCTGGACCTCCAGCTGCCGGGCTTTTGGACTCAAACTTCGGGAAAGGGGAAGTACAGTTCTGTCTCTTGGGTATTATCCAGCACTGTGGATTCTGGGAACGCTTTGCAATGGTAACGTTCCTCTTCATAGCAACTGCAGTCTGAGCAGAACGCTCTGGTTTGCTTGTCTCAAGGGGACAGTGAGAGCATTTCATCCTGGCTCCCTTTCTCTTGCTTCCTTTTATTGGGAGGGGGGGGGTGTTGGTGGAAAAAATAATCTTTTTTTTCTTTTTATAACTACACTTACAGCTGCTGAAAGACAGGCTGGGGACTGCAGTATGGTAGATTTCATCCCGCACCACTCTGCAAAAACAAGTATTCAGCTCAACTTCTAGCTAGTTATGAGACTGTGAGTAACACTTCTGTTACTGGAGCACAGGCAAAAAAAAAATAATTCCCTCTAGTATTAGCTTCCCCACGAGGAAGATTGCTGCCAGCGATATTGCTACCTGGGAAGTAGACATGTAAATCTGAACAGAAGCAACTAACTCTCTTAAGCTGGAGGTCCCAGATATGACCAAAGAGTTCCATGAAGCCACATCAGGATACTTGGCTTTGCTGTTTCTGGCTGCTGCTGCTGTTCTGACCTGTACTGGTGAGCTGTGTCTGATGAACATCTGCAGCTGGCACACCAGACTCCAAGGAGCAAGGGGCTTTGTCCAAAAATACCAAAAATAGCAGCTGCAGTAGTTGCCTGTGTCTGGATTCCTGCTGGGGCCAGGCTTCATCTTACAATTCCTTTCATCCTCTTGAGTGGAGAATAAAATTTATTGTTAACCTCATTCTGCAGAATCCATCTTGGCATTTGCTGGAATAGGCAGGCGAGCAGGTGGGTGGCTTTAAACAAAAGATTTTTAACATGGACTTCCTGGAACTTCTGGAAGCTGGAAACTTGCTGTGAGGTGTGTCCTTCCTTTGCTTGTGGGTAAGCATCCAGTTACTGTGATTCCATTTTATACAGTGCTGTCTACAGAGCTGCTTTCTAAATCATGGCAGAAATACATGTGTTTGAGATACTCTTTATTATCTTCTTTCTCTTTGCCTGCCCCCCTCTTTCCCCAGAGACCTCGATGAGGTAGAGCCACTGCATAGCTGATGCATCTTGGGTACTACATGTTGTGTGCACAGCAAAGGGAAGGTGGGATGAAAGGACTTGCTGGCCTGAACTCATGCAGCTGAGCTGAAGGACTCCTGATTTTTTTTGAAAGATTAGCTCGCTTTCTGAATGATGTGATTTCCCCAGATTGCAGTGTTGGGCATGATGGGCGAGGACAGAGAATGAAATGTCATGACAGCATGGTCTTTCTGTATTCCCTTACCCCCAGCTGCATTTGTACATGATTTGCACAACCCTCATGTGCTGTGTCTTGCAGTTTCTGCTTAACTGAGTGAAACAGCCTATCTGTGAGGTAGAGAAGGGAATGACGTTACAGTCAGATGGGCAGCTCTGGGCATGAGAGGTTCCTGGCTTCCTCAGGGCTTTCAGCATGCCTAGCTTTGGTAGAACTGACTGGGTCAAGAATGTTCTGCTTCGTTAAGTTGCTTCTCTGAAAAATAATCACATGTAGCATGTTCCAGACCTCCTGTCCTGCACCTACAGTAAAACAGCATCTTTAGATTCCTCCTAAAGTCTGCATACATTGGTTGCAGAAGAAACCAGCTGAGAGTGAGGATGCTCTGTGTCCTTAATGAGCCAGACTGGGCCTCAGGTGTTTTGTGTGACCTTGGTCAAGGCACTTATTTCTCTCTTTAGCTTCCTGCTGCTATCAAAGGATGAATACTCCCTCCCTTCCTGACTGTGAGCAGTCTGGGGACAGGCATTATGCACATCACCTGCCAGACAGAATATGGGCTAGAAATGAATTGACCTGAGCAGATGAGGACTTAAAAATCCTTGAATTGCTTAGAGCTTCTGGTTAAAACCAATTATCACTTGCTAACGCTTGTGGCTTCTGAGGTGTTTAGTATCAAAATGATTTTAGGGATGTGGTTCCTCTGCAGTGCTTTCTGGCGATGGCTCTGATGAGAACTGTAAGTACCTAATGGCTTTGAAAGCCAAAGCAGGAATCTTTTATTCTCTTTATTTTCCCTCCTGATCTTGTGATCTGATCAACCTGACATCCTTGTGTCTCTTCTTTGTTCTGTCTCTGGGACCCCTCCACACCGGTAGCTTTTCCTCTGCATTGCATGTATTTTTGGAGCACGGTTATTTCTCTCCTTTTAGTGTAAGATAATTGCTTCAGGGGAGAATGCCTGGGCCACAGATGCTTTGTTTTACTGGGGATAAATGCAATCATCGATAGCATTTAGAGGTTTGGGGTTTTTTAAAGGAAGATGTGGTTTTTACAGGAAGGCTGATTGAAATTGCTGCCTGAGTCCTGAGGAGCTATTGTGTGGAAGGGCCAGGGTTCACCTGTGAGCCAATCAATCTGCATGCATAATTGGTGTTGACAAACTGAATGTGGAAGGACTCTGTAGGTTACCATGGGAACAAAAAAGGAGGTGAATTCTGGTTCAGTGGGTCTGAGCAAAAGGATATCTCACTATATTTTTGTTCTTGGGCTCTGCAAGAGGGGAGGGCAGAAGAGAACAGTTCGTCAACTCACTTCTATCTGATGAATTCTTGGCCTGCTGGAAATAGTCTGTGGTCTCGTGAAAGTGTTGTCCTGCTGGTTTACACCTGTGAGCCCCACGTTACTGTGGGGAATGTGGGCACTCTCCAGTCTCACTGTGTGAGAGGATGAGGTGTCCTGGGAAAAGATCTCCCTCCTGTTCTAGCAGCTTGGAGAACAGCCAGGCTGCTGGGAAGCAAACCAGGCAGAGGGGACAACCTGAGTGTTCAGGTGTCCTGTGTCCTCAGTGACCAGCAATACACGCATGCAGAACGATGGTGGGAATTAGACCTTAGCCCTAATTAAAGGTGAACCACTCCTGTGATGCAGTGTGCAGAATGATCCCCTGTGCACCACAGTGTGCAGGTAACACTCGTCCATCAGTGTGTCTTGGACTCTGGAGAGGACCTTGGATTTGTGCAGTGTTCCACGGGTGGTTGGGTTGATACCAGCAACTGCTATAGAGCCTGCATTGCTCTTGCAGAGCAGGGTGTTCAGGGAAGGTGGGAAGGGGTAGGAGTAGTTCTTGGCTGTGTCCCAGAGTCTCTGTCTCTTTTTCAGGCAGGTGTGGACCACATTCTGCTTCCAGTTTAGTGGCTTCCAAGGAGACCTCCCAAACTGCTTCACAAAGCAGAGTTTAATTGGCATTTCACATCCCTCCTGAACCACTGAACACAAAGAATATTTTATTTTGTCTGGGATTTCTAGCTACCTTCTTGGAGGAATGAACATATCTTCTGCCTCCCCAAACAACTTATTAAACAGAAGCACTCAAGTAGCACTTGGCAACAGATAAATTACTCTTCTTCTACTGACTCTTTTGTCACTTCTTTTCATATTCAGAACCAGCATGAAGATGTCAAGAAGCAGCTGCTTGACCTGCAGCTGCAGCACAACAGCTTGAAGCTGGAACATCGTAAGACACTGGAGTCCCATAGCCAGAAATATGCCCAGCTGCAGCAGGAGAAGGACAGCGAAGTCACAAACTTGCAGGGTGAGTGTGATGGAAAGGTAAAAAAAAAATACTAGGCAGAGAAAGGACTGAAGAACTGAGTTCAGGAAAGGACAGTGTTTCTTTTCCAGGCCCCCACAAGGTCTGTAGATACTGCAGGAACCCCCTGGTGTGACTGTGAGTGTGCACTGCCTTAGCCCTACACCTGCACTGAGCGTTGTCTGACCTCAGGGTGGTGGTGCAAGAACAAGGGCAGTGTTGGAACTGGCCCAGTGCCCTGGGGTTGCACTGAGGGGAGGTGAGAGATGCAGAGCAGGCTCTGGAGCAGCTTCCCCATGTGAGGGAAGCCACTGCCTTCACAGGTGGTGTTTTTGTGTGGAAATACACACCACAAAAGCCTCTGCCTGCTTGGGCTGGCAAACACGCTGATCAGGCTGCGATTGCTGGGCAGTGTAGGGTCACAGAGGAGAGGAGTTTCCTTTTTTTTTATATGACCTTGGGTTTAACCATACTTTGGGTTCTCTGGGGTTCAGAGACCCCCAGTGTTGTACTACCTGGGGCACCCCTGGCTTCTGTCAACACCAGCACTTTCATGGTGTTTATTTTAAAAGCCTACTTGACTTTTGCTGGCTGCTTACTCTTACTGCAGCTGCTACTTATTATTGTAGAATTTGTGTAGAGCCAGGTAAGATGGTAAATTATTGTGCTAGGTGCTGGTCATATTCAGACTGTGAAACAGTCCATGTCCCAAGGCGGTCACGCTCAAAGTGGATAAGACAATCCAAAAGTAAAAAGTGTGAGGCTAAGGTAGAGGTACAGGCCTGTGGTTCTGCAGTAGGCTGGGGCAGAAACAACAGACTCATCCATTAGATGCTGCTGCCTTCCCCTGTCCTTTCTCTGGTGGGTCAGTGTAAGTTAGCAGAGATGCTTCTGTGGCAGAGATAAAACACTGTGACATTTAGGTATCCCACTTCAACATACGTTTTCCATTTCTCTGTGCACTTTTGACCATGGAAACCAGCTTCTATATTACTAGAATCCTGTAAATTCTAACATTTAAGCTGGGGAGCAAATTAAACATACATTTTGTAATTAATGGTGTAGGTATATAAAATGTGTTTAATAGTGCAAGTATTGCAGAGAATGCTGATCCCTTCAATTCCCAAAGAGTAGTTTCTATTTAGTCTGCTGTTTAATTAGATTGTGAGGGTTTTAAGGTTCACATCTGTTCTTACTTAGATTAGGTCTGGGAGAGTGAAATCTCTTGATGTTTTGTTTGGGTTTTTTTGCTGATCAACAAAGCCCTAGTATCTGATGAGCACTTCTGGGTTAAAAGGGGGGAATTGAGCACAAGCAAGCAAAACCTAAATACTTGGTTGTCTCCCTTCTTGAAATAGGCAGCCCCCAATGAAGTAAGAAAACAAATTCTGTCAGTGGAAGGAGAATAATAATCAGAAAAACAATCCGGAGAGGGAAGCTAGCCAGGAAGGCTGGCTTAAGCCTGATACTACTATTCTCTGTCCGTCTTCCCAGGCTACTGTTCACTTGGTGCCACCTCTCTCCTTGGTGCTTTAAGCTCTAAGCTGGCTAGTAAATCTTCCCTGAAGTATTGGCAACTGTGCCATACAAAAGAGCAAGGCAGTCTCATGAGACTTGGCAAAGGCAGGGAGCTAGTAGCATTGCTAATGCCTCATTTTCTTTCCTTATGTTGCACCAGTACTTTCTATATATAATGTGCCCTCAGGAGACGTGTGTTGGAAGATGTGCCTCTGTCAGTGAGTAGAGAACAGTATCTGAGCAGTGGGCATTGCTCAGGGCTGTTCAAAGGGAACAGGGGGATTTTTGCTAGATTCAACTGCAAAAATGAACCCCTCGCCCCAGGGATGCTGGGGGAAAGCAGAAGCCCACTGGGAACTAAGGGGGATTCTTTCACGGGAGGAACTGTGTTTGGTAGCTCCTCTTGGTGGTCCTTCAGGTGCTTTACAGCCTTGGGGCAGCTCTTGGGTTGGTGATCTCTACATGCAGATGCTGGGGTGTGGGGATGATGGAGCTGTGCCATGTGACCCAACAGTTGTGGTGCTCTTGGGGTATCTCGTGCCCTGTTCCTGAAAATCCCTGCTTCTGGAAGTGGTTTTTGAATGCTGGTTCATGTGTTTATGAGTATACGCTCAGGTAGCTGAACCCTCCTGGTCTTGTTAACCAGAGCCTTTTTAATCCTGTTTGCTTCCTCCCTCTACTCCAGGCCTTTCCTGCTGCATTATGAACTATTTTCTCCTTTACTTTATAGGAACTGCAGTCTATTTATGCTGCATTTCACACCCCCAGCACAGCCTGTCCTCTCTTGTGCTCCCCCATGCTAATTCTGTACTCTTCCTTTTTTTTTTTTTTTTTTTTTTTTTTTTTCATACATTGGCATAGTCCGCTTTGAAGGCAGACAGATAGTTTTGATCTTTGAGCTTCTGTTGGAGATAAGGATGCTGTAGTTACAGCTGAAACTTTTTCTTCCCGTTGACACCAGTGGTAAAACTCCTGATGGGGCCACTGGGACCAGCATCTCATGTCTGCCATGCTGGTGGTAGAGGAAGGACACACAGTGGCATGAAGGTTTTGATTTCCAGGTTCTGAATAAGCTTTGAAGGCCTGGATGTTACTGAGGTATTGGCTCAGTGAAACTGCAGGATTCTTTTGGACATGTCTTCCCACACTTGAGATGCCTTTGGTTCTCTCAAAGGCCTGGGGAAATGTCTGTTTTATAGCCAGAGGTTTTAGCAGTAGCTGTCATCTAGCCCGGACTAGCTGCCTCAAAACACACCCCTTACTCACTGCTCCAGGCCAACACCCACAGCACCGTGTGCTTTCAGCACTGTGTGCATACAAGGTAACTCAATTAAAGCTGTTCTAGCTGTGGTCCCACATGACATAATCCTGTATTTCCTTCTGCCTGCAGGAAAGACAGAACCTTTTTTTTTTTTTTTCTGTTTGATGTTAACCTTCGCTTCAAGGCAAGAACACCCAACCTCAATGGCAAAATGTTCTGTCCCAGGGCTGAATGTTCTAAAAACAGATATACCAGTGTAATCAGAAATATCTATAGTCTTGAGCTGAAATCTCACATGCAATTCAGCCTACAGCAAAGTGACCATCCTGTTACAGGAAACATTCCCATCCTTGTCCTGGCAGGTGCAACTATGTCTGCAGAGAAATCCTGGTGCATGTGGTTCTAGTCATATTTTGAGAGCCTTATCCAAATTAAGACTGACATTTTTTTTACACAGTCTTTCTGTTGACCGGAGGTTATGCAATTCTATTCAAGGCAGTGAAACGTAAATGTATTGTGTGTCTTGTAACTGAAGTACTTAAGAGTGTGCAAATTGCTTGAAAGGAGCCCAGCCTGGGGGCTGAAAGGCACAAGCTTGCTACTTAACAGCATAGGAATAAATGTGCCTGAGGACCTAGTTGTCCTATGATTGCTTTCCCTAAGTGGGCTTTGGGGTTTTTGTGTACTTTGTGCAGTAGGAGTGATCTGTGTGGGTTCAGGAGAGCCGACAGACTTCTCTTGTAGCTGTTTCTCAACCTCCCAGTTACTACTGCTCGCTGCTCTCCCTGCTGTCCAGCTGCAGTGGGTCAGGGAAATGAAGAATCAAGTATCTTATTCTGATAGCAAGCACAGCAAGAGCCTGACCATGGTAGCAATAGTTAGCAGAGAGACTCTGGAGAGGAGAAATGTAGAATACCAGGTTGAAAGGGACCTCAAGGATCATCTAGTCCAACCTTTCTTGGCAAAAAGAGGAAGGGGAAAAAAAAAAACAAACAAAAAACCAGAGGAAGTTCCTTGGATGGGCAGGACTCCTGAGTGCTGAAGGAATGATGATTTAGTTTGTCAACGTGTTTGGCTAGTCCCGAGTTAGTGCTTCACTGTAATTCCTGGGCTTGGGGAGATCTAGGAGGTCAAGAAGAATTTATGGTAAGGAAGAGAGATACCACACTTGGGAAAATAACTCTCCTAAGCAAATTTCTTCTTCTCTTGCAGATACAGTCTTTAAACTCAGAGAAGAGAGCAAGCTGCTCCGGAAGGCCCACCAGGAAGTTCACTCTCAGCTCCTTAATGCCCAGGTAGCCATCAGGGGGCTGTTTGTGGCCACATGGGACAATCTTTCACTGGGGTCTGGGTGCACTATCAAATATTCTCTAAATAATCTACTTATCAACTATATTCCAGCGTGGCAAGTTGCCTAAGACAGTGCTGGTAGGTGTAAACATTCTGTACAAGTAAAATTCTCCAGCCTGGATTCTGTCCCAGTAGCTGAAAATACAGGTATGCTACACAAGTCACTGCGGTTCAAGTGAGCATGTACCAGCATACTCCCAACCCTGGAATGCCTCCTGTCACCTACCCACATCTCAAATACTTCCACCCTAAATGAATTGTCTCTGTTTATGCCTATAAATTAATTGCCAAGAGAAATAGCAATGCAGAGGTGCCTTGCCCAGCTTGCTGAGACTAGACACTCAACGACCCTGGCAAAATGTTCCCTTCTGCATCTCCCTGTGAAGCCTTAGTAGGGAGGGAGGCATATTAATAAAAAAAAAAAAATTGGAAAGAGCTATGTAAAGTAGAAGTTAATGTTCAGTAGTAAGTGTTGGAATGTGATGCTTTTGGAGGCTGGGGCAGACGTGCAAGTGGTGTTGGCTTAAGACTAGAGAGGCAAAAAATCTTTTTTTTTTTGCAGGAGGGGGGAAAAAAAAAAAAAGTTCTGTTTATATGGTGTTGTGCTTGTGCTGTGGAGATGCAGAGTGCTGAAGAGGCTCACATCAACTCCTGACCTCACAGAATTCTGCTTATCCAGCTGAAGCTGGGAGCTCCCAGACCCTGGGAGAAGGGAGAAAGCAGGGTATGCTGGGAGACGTGGGAGGACTTCATGGCTCTGCGGTGTTTGTCTGAGGCCCTTGTAGTGAGTCAAGACACAAGCAGCTTGGTAAATATACTTTAAAAGTCACATTGGAGTCTGAATTAGTCTTTTCTGTTGGTAATTAACAGCCTTTTCTCAAGCACTCCCTTGGATTATAGGATAAGCCTAGAAGCAAGGAGCTAATTGTGGTTAGATGCTGTTGACAAGTGATTCTTCCCCTGAACTTGAACTAGAGGTGCAGGGGGTAGTGGGTTTTGACTTCTACAAGATGACTCTTGAGTTCTGCCTGATCTGCCCTGCAAAGTGGCAGCTGATAAGTGGCTCTGGGGCATTGCAGACTTCACAGATAACTGCCTGCTCCAGGCAGGAAGCCCGGGTTACTGACACTGCAGGCAGCTGTCATTTGACAGCTCTTTGGCTCGTGTCAGATGGGGTTTGAGGGGTCTCAGGTGGCCCATCAGTGTATTTGACTTGCCTGCCTTCATAATCGTGACTTCCACTGAGCTGCTTTTTCACCCTGTGCTTGTTGGAAACTAAACAAAGGCTTCTGGTCTCTGCAGGGGTCAGTCCAGCACACCCATACTCGGATTGAAACAGCCTGTGATTACAAGATCCTCCAGTGCCCCAGCAAGCCTGTATTCACACCTCCTGCTATCAAAATGTGTCTCAGCCATCATTTTTTAGGCCTCCTGACTAAACTTTCAAAGTAGCTGCCAAAGGCGCTGCTCTAGCTTGCTCTCAGGCAACACTGAGACCCAGCCAGCTCCCATCATACAGGCTTCTGCCACTGACAGCGTGGGTCGGTCTCAGTTGATCAAAGGTGCTCGGTCATTCTGTATTTCTACTTTTGTCTTGCTGGGTCAATGCTGAGTGCATTTGCAGCTGGCACACCGTGTAGGCCCAGTCCCGGATTACTCTTCAGCAGAAGAGTAATGCTCTTCAACCAACTGTGCTGCGTTGGAGAAAGGAAGCAGCAGTTCAAGTGTGCAAGCTAGCGTGTACTCTAACAGAATTTAAAAAAAACTTGGCTGGAGGTGGCTGAGGCTACAAAGTCAAGTGCTTGCAGACTGGAAAACGTGGTGGCAGCTTTTGTGCTGCCAGTCTTAACTTTTGGCCCCTTCGGTGTCGTGGCCAATGGAAAAAGTAGTTTGCAAGAAGCAGCTCACCGTTGTTTCTTGCCAAAATTAAGAGTGAGCAAGAGTAAAAGGATTTGCCCTGAGTGTGGGAGACACGACTCAGCTCCCTGCGCTGAACGTAGGAGACAGCCGTGTAACGGAGTGGTGCTCCAGCCATCTGTCTGGCTGCTATTTCTGACACAAGTGGCAGTGGTTGGTCCCAATGACTTCAGAAAATACTTTGAATCTTTTTGACAATGAGCCTAGTGTTAAAAAATGTTCTGTTGGGTTTTCTGATGGGTCCTTTGTCACGTCTAATCAGTGCTCCACAGCACACAACAGGTGAATGGGGATTGCACTTGCCTTCAGTGGGGCTGTACGTGGGAGCAGGCACCCACGCAGACTCCAGCTCCTTTACCAGCACTGCAGTTCTTCACTGCAGGGTGGATTTGCACCGAGTATCCTGTTGTTGATCTTGCTTCCTTCTGGCAGGTGAAAGTTTAGAGGAGTCATTTGCATTCTAGACAAGATGTTCACTGCCAAGGCTTGGAGCGCGTTCCCCAGCCCAGCCGGCAGTCGCTGGCACTCAGCTGCTCCGTGGGGTAGCCCGAGGCATGGAGGGGTGTAGGTGCAGCTTGTCCTGACGGGCTGCAACCAGCCTCTGGGACTCTGTGTTAAGCCTGGTCTAAAGCTTCTCTCCCTCTGGGCTGACCACCTTTAGCAGGCTTTTGCAGGGTACAAGTTCTGCTTCCATCTGGCTTGTTCTGACTGGAACCAGTCTCCTGCTAGCTAGGGCTACATCCCACAAACTGTTCTTGGCTTCCTTTGCCTTTCCTCATTCCTTTTATGTTAGCTTTGCTGAGTGGTTTCATTGGGGTTTGTTTTGGTTTTTTAATGTTAATTTTAAGGTCAAATTTCAGAGGGAAGAACTGAAATCAACAGAGCCTGCTCAGGAATTCATTTCCTGCTAAACTTTCCTTGCTGCTGTGAAGCTTTCCTGCTCTGCCCAGTCCCTAATTTGGTCCCTTTCCAGGTACCCTGGCAAGCGTATGAAAAGCTCTCCCCCCTCACTTTCCTATAAATAACTGGGGTAAGAGTGAGGAGCTTTTCCTGTGTAGCTTTTGCAAGCCCTACTTTTCAGGGTTGGAGATGGAAGAGGTAACCTGCAGTAGAGAGTTAAGTGTTGCATTTGCTTAACAGTCCGGGAGAATCGATTTTCATTTGTCTTGCAAAGTAAATTAAATTGTCAGGTAGGATTATGCCGGTTACTGTCAGCCCTGCTGAGATGAGCACATCCATGGAGAAATGCCTCCACAGGAATTAAAAAAGCAGACCTAGAGGTACATGAGAGCGAGGCACAGGAGGAGAGGAGGCACCTGTGACAAGACCCAGGGTACAATTCTTGTGCAAAGGCAGGAGTGTCAGTGGCTCGTGCACTGAACAGCATTGGGCAAAGAATCCGTGCCATGGCTCAGCACTTCCAGGGTAAAAGTAGGCAATAAAATAAAATGCAAGACTGGCAAAGGGGGGATACAGAATATCCTGAAAATCTGGAGGGAAAGCTGAAGACTAGCTTGGGCCTGTCATTAATGGTTGTGGATTATCTCCAGCCTTTCATATATACAAAATATAAATCTTCTGTAGTAGCGTGTCTGTGCTGAACAACTGACCTTACAAGAGGGGCTGTTCTCAGCGTGGAGGTGTTTTACCCTGTTATTGTGTGAGGTTTCTCTGTACCCTTCTCATCCCCCCAGGCCCAGATGGAAGAGTTCAGGCAGCTCAAGGAAGCTCTACAGAAGATGCCAAGTTTCAAAGGAGGAGGAGGAGGAGCTGGGAAGGGGCAGCAGCAGTTTCAGGTGCTGAAGGAGCAGCCCATGGTGCCGGCCAACAGCCAGCTGCAGCTCGGGAGGCAGAAGGTGGGGTTCTCCCAGGAAAGCCCAGGGAGGAGAATTCTGCAGGCTTCTCAGCGTGGGGCTTTGAACTGGAGAGAACTGAGCTTGTTCCTTTAGTTTGCTCTTGTCCTCTCTTCCTTGCAGGCTTTTCCAGTCAATCAGGAGAATCGCCCTGTTGGGAACGCGCTGGCATCGCCAGTCTCTGGGGTTCAGAAGCAGGCAGACAGCCCGAGGCTGCAGGGCCACAACTCCTACAGTAACGATAGCCCGAGGCCACAGGCCAACGTCCTCTTCACCCATCCAGCCTCGCTGCAAGATGCCAATGCCCTGCCAGAGGCTATGCCAGCCTGGCCAGCGAGACACGGGGACGGCCACGTGATCCGGTTCACCCGGACCATGAACAGTTTGCCAAATGGGAACCCCGTGAGTCCTGCACACTTGCTGCTTGTTTTGTGTAGCCTTTGCTTTTGAAGCTCAAAACTATGATATTTGTAATGACAAGCATATGTGCATTCCACTTCCCTGATGTAGAAACTGTCCTGGCCTCAGGTTTCAGACTCCTGTGCACTGGTAAGAGCTTGTGGTGTAGCAGCTGGGCTCAGATGAACAGGCTGGAGTTCTGGATCCTGCCAGATCTGCAAAGTGTAAATCATAAAAGCAGCTCCCTTGTCTCCCGGGGTGAATGAGAGTAAGCTTATGGAAAGCTAATCTTTCCAAAAAATGACAACAATGGCAGTGTGGTTAGACTATAATTACAAAAACTATTATAATGGGAACATGTGTGGGGTTTTTAGAGGTGGTTTTGTTGTTCTTCTTGGAGACTTGACCTACCCAAAACAAGTTTGGGTCGCAGAGGATCCAGATTGTTTCCTCTTGGCTCTGTGGAAGGAGAAGGACCTGTTTCACTGCAGGCTGGCTAGACGGGTCTGTAGATTTGTTCTGGAGCACTTTTGAATCCGAGTTCTTCGATAAAGGATTTTTCTGGCCCATAAGCCTGCCCAAATGCAAGACAGATTTGCAGATATCTGATAAGACTAGGAGCTTGTGTATGTCCTGAGTATATGCATGTGTCTTCTCTCCAGGATCTGAAGATGGTGATGCGTGTTCAGGTGAAAAGCAATGAGGACAGCCAGGCTCCTGGATTGTCCCAGTCTGATCTGAAACAACCCTCTGCAGCAGAAGAACCTCAGATGCCAGACAACCACCACTCTACGGGGAACAAACAGGCACAAATACAAAGGTTGGTGAAACAAAACCCTCTTCTACGCTCAATGTTAAGGCTGAAAGGTACCATACAGGCTCATCCCTGGTGTCTCTCTCTTGTTTATTGTGGCTTCTACTTGAAAGATGATTGGAAAATGTGTTAATTATTGGTTTCACTGTCATCTAATTCTTGTAACTAAACGTTGCTGCCGGGTCTCTATCTCAGCCAAAGCAGAAGACTAGTCATGTTGCAGGCAGTGCTGTGTGATTGAATGCACAGACTGCTGTGGGTGCTGTGCTGGGGGAGAAAAAAAAAGGCTGTTGTGTTATTGGTGTATGCTCTGTAGGCTGCCTTTGTACTTGAACTGTTTGGTAAAGTGTGTGGGGAGGAGAAAAAAAGGAGCTACTGCTGAGTGAGATCAGCTCAGCATGGATTTCCTACTAGCTAGAGGAGAGGGTGGGAGCGGAGTCTGAACTGACTTCAAGGAATCTCCTCCCTATCAGTGGTGGTGACTTAAAAATATCCTGTTTTGTTCAGCAAACTGAAGAAAAGCTGCATGACGGAAGCGACTCATCTGCAGCAGCAAGGGTGGCTAAAAATTCCTTCAGTTTCTATAAATAAGAGGCATTAAGTTATATATTAGAGCTGCAACTTGTTCTTTTTTTTTTTTTTCCCCTACACCGATTAATCAGTAATCTGCCAAGCTCTGCAGGAGCAACCAGACCTTGAAGATCTGAAAGTTTCTCATCTCTAGAAGCAGCAGGCAACCAGCCCCAATTAGGTACTAGAGCTTTTTCTGGTTTTGCTTCTAGGGCAAAGACAAATCCCCAGGCTCTGTATTGTCTCATCTGTGTTTGCTTTCCTCCCAGGAGGAGGTTCCCGTTGGCAGTGTGCTGCTGAGGGGTTGTGCTTCACAGAGCCTGCTTAGAACACGAGTAGTCCGACAGGTCTGAGACCTGTGATCCCAAAGCTACAGGCTTTGTCCTGAGTGGGGTGAAACAGTTTACAGCAGTAGTTTGTGCCAGAAATGAGGACACAACCAGAATCCATCAGACAGCCCAGGCTTTTGTCCTGTCTATGTTCATGTAGACCTGTGCTTGAGGTGATGGAGTTCTATCGACTTGAGCTTCATCTGGAGAAGTCAAACCAATTCAACCATATAAAGACTTGGAACTGGTCTGAGCTTAGATGAAACCTGGGTATTAAAATTCTCTGCAACTTGGGACTGTTGCTCCTATCAGACATCCTCAGCACAATGTGCTCTCCAGACCTCTTTTTGGGGTAAATGGGAGTGGAGAGCTCTGGGGAGTCCCTTGGAACGGACAGAGAGGATCAGAGAACGGTGTGAACGTACCCGTTCCATGCAGGTAACAAAACGGGTAATTCCTACAGTATGTAACTTGTATTGCTGTGGTATCTGAGAGTCCAGTCAGGGACCGGGATCCTGATGTACTGTGTGTTGTACAAGCACAGGAGAAACTGTTTACTGTCTCGGCAGCACTCGCAGAAGACCAGTCTGTTTTCCAAAAGGAAGAAAATGTCCTTCTGAGGCTGCAATTCATCAAAGTCTGGCCATAATCCAAAAACTGACTGAAAATAGTGCTTCCTCATTTAATTTATTTATCCCCTGTGTGTGTCCAGGTCATATCTGCTCAGTTTACTGGAGCAAACAAGATTTAGTTTCTGTTTTATCTGTAGAGGAGACTTCTGGATTTCATTCTAAATTCAGTCTGATCTTACCCATTCTTCTCTACCATTTTTGTTTGTTCACTTAACCCTGCAATCTGCCCAGGTCAGAGATTGTGCTTTGCATATTTCTTTAAAGGGCAACATCCTCCCTGTGCTGCTCTGATTAGACAACATCTGCACAGAGGACCAGCACAGAGGGTATTCTGCCTTCTTACAGGGAGGGACTTGCAGGTGTAACTGGAGTGGTGATGGCAGAGTGGCCTTTCCTCAGCTACATAAAGCCCAGAGGGGGATGCTGCCACTGCTCTGTGAAGCAGAAAATGCAAATATTGGATTTGTTGGGCAGATTATTTCTTCAAGGACAGAGATCATGGTATGTTTGGTGTGCTTGTCGTTTTCTGGATCTATCATCAAGAAATTACTGAGCAGCTGGAGGCTGTTATTTACACTGCCTGAGGTTTGTGATAAGGAGTGCATGAACCAACTTTTGTCGAGAAGGTGTCAATGCCAAGAACAATATCAAACAGCAGCAGAGTACAAAGAGGCCATGCATCCAGCGCCAAGAACCGTTGCACTGGGTGGCTGAGACCAGCAGATTCCAGATGAGCTCTTGATGGCCAGTTTCCATATTGATGGTTTTATAATGGGGAAATCTGAGCTGAAGGCTGGGTCAGGATTTTTCTTACTGAAAGTTTTGTGCGGTGATAGTATGCTGGCTTTAAAAAGCTGCTAGAGCTAAGGCCACTTGTCCTTTCGCAGCAGTTAAGAACTTAAATGTCTTAAGTAGACTTCTAAATCTCAGCTGGCTTATGCAGCAGCTAAACCAAGCAGTAGTCCTGCTTGAAACTGGTGGCAACTTTACTCGGGTTAAAAGTTTCTTATTTTAGTCATTTTTGAGAGTCCTTATTGCTGGGATTTCATCCTTTGCTTTACCTTTCTTTGTTTCTTAAGGTGTCCTTGAGTAAGAATATTTGGATATTTGGGAAGAAAACATTCCCTATGAGACAGCCTGGCCTTCTGGGCTTTTCAGGGACACGCTTAAACTAATATGAAGATATTCCATTTCTTCTCTGACCTCCAATTTATTTCTCAGCAGTGGAACCGTGTCACACTACTAATGACTCTGCTGCTGAGCCTCCGGTTGGGGATCCACATGAGCGGGGCTGTTGGCTGCAGGCAGAGAAGCATTAATGAAAAATATGTTGCACTTGTCATATACCTTGATATCAAGTACTTGTCCCTTTGAGGCACTTCTGTTAAGAAGGAAGCAGACACAGATAGTGATGCAAACATCAGGAGAGGTATATTTGAGGTGGAACCACTACAGAGGAAAGAATTGTTGACTGTGGCTGCCTGAAATGAGTTGTCTGAACTCTCACAGCTAGAGCTGTGTATGAATAATTGATTTTTCAGATCAGTAGATGGATGAAAACTTTGAGGGGAGGCTGGTAAGAAAAGCAGTAAATTATACTGGAGTGTGGCTTCCCTCACTGAATGAAGAAACAAAACACTTTTTCCCATGTTCACCTAAAAAAAAAATAAAAATCAAAACAATATGTGACTGTTTCCTTTCAGCTAGGTCTATTTTCACTGGGTTTGTGCAGGGAACAGATGCAAGCTGTGGAAGAGTTTCTAAGCAGATACTGGTTAAGGTATGCATCCCAGTTGCAGAGCTTCATAAAGAGCTTGTGGCTTTAAAAAAACCCCTATCAGATAATGAAAGTTGTCAGTTTGTATTGCAGCTTTCCTGTTTATTTTGTAAGGGGTTTTTTTTATAGGCTTATAGGCTAAAATTCCACAGGTTTAGTAGTATCTTCATTTTTTTTTTTTTTTAAATTACGTTGGAACAATAAAGGGGACCTGCAGTTTTGATATTTTTTTCAAACACTTAAATATGTTTATTTGGGTATGTGTGAGGCATGAGTAAGAACATGTTTAGGACTGGAGTTTATTGCTCTGTGGATATGTTACTGTATCATATGAATAATATTAAAGCAGTTCTACAATAACTTGTGTTTACAAAGCATAACTTAATTTGTTCTTATGTGGCATATGAAATGTTCTCTTTCAAGCAAGATATCACAGTAACTAATCCCATCTGCTAAAGTTAAATTAGGACAAACTTTTGCATGTGTTGGAGTTGGGTTTTTTATCTCTGCTTGCCATTATGAAATATCTCTTGATATACTAAGGCTGGGGGTGGGGGGGTGTCTGTTTTGTTTTGTACCCTTGTTGCAGCTGGAAGGACATAGTTAACAAGGTGAATGCCCAGATGGATGAAGAACAAGTGCAGAGTTACCCAAAGAGCCTTCATTTTGATCCCAAGCCTGGGCAAGAGATGCAGAAAGGCAGCCCACAGCCACCCAGCCAGAAGAGAGGGGAAGAGCATCAGATAGCTGATCAGGAAGGCGAGAAGGAAAGGACAGATGACGAGGAACTCGAAATGGGTATGGCTCCCCCCATCTGATGCTGTGCAGCACTCATTTATTGCTATTCAAGGTGGGGAGTGAGAGGAGCTTTCTCCTTGTGTTAAAGGAAAATTTTTTTCAATTTCAAAATTTCAATTTCAAAATTTCAGTGCTTGAAAAAATTCTTGTGCTTTTATTGTCATTGGTCAAATGCAGAGCCTGGACCGTTTTCCATTTTTGTTCCCTGTTGTCCTGCATCCTCACACATTTCTGAGGTAGTGGACTCAAAATCTGTGTAATTTAAGTCGGTTCTTCTTTCTTTCCTGTGGCAGTGATGGGGAAAATGTCACTGTTTATTCCAAGACAGATCTCAGTTTCCCATAGGAATTGTTTGTAACTTGCTCAGGGCAGAAAATTTCCCAGCTGTCCTTAAGGGGCTAAAAGTAAATAAATTCAAGGGCAGCTAGTTGTAATTGTCAGTCAGGCAACAGAGCACTTACTAGACTTCAAAATAGCTGTAACTGCATTTGGGCAATTAGAGGCCAGTTCTTAGAACACGTTAAATTCCTCAGTCTTCTGATCCGGATCTGTTCAGACCTCTGTGCATCGACTCACCCTGCTAATAACAGGTTGGGGAAACATTTAACTTGGTGTAAAGTTCATCATCACACCATGAAACCAGCTAATGAAGAATCCATTAGATTTTACATGTGAGGGCAGAATTTTTTTTTTGCCTCGCTTTCCAGGTGAGGTTTATCAGTTGGCTTGTAATGGTGGTCACATGTGCGTGGCAGAAGGAGGGAACAATTAAATAACTGTGTTGTGTGAAACAACAGAAAACAGCTGTAAAATGACTAGACGTTTCAGAAAATTGCAGTGTGTGGGCTGGGGCTTGGAGCACTTCCATAGGTCCAGTAACAAAGGGAAGGTTGATTTAATTGCAGCTGTATGTCTGTGAGTGTAAGAGGGAAGCTGCAGACTTCCTTCAGAAGCAAATCAAGACATCAGAAGTGGATTGCAGTAAGCCAGTCAGGCCGTGGAGAGCCAAAAGGGGCTTCTGAGCAGAGGTGTCCAGTCTGAGGATCTGTGGAGCAGTGCTCTGCTGTGCTCGAGGGGCTGGGATTTACAGTGTGAACGCTGGGTAAACAGATTTCTGTGCTGCAAACAGACTCTTCCATCAATTCCTCTTGCGCACGTGGAAATAACCTGTAAAATGTGGGAGTTAGCTGGTTACCTTTGTCAAAAAGAGACACTGAAATGTAGATATGACTAATGCTAATTCCATATGTTGCTAGACTGAGGTAGAAGGACTAAGTAGGTGGCTTTTCATGTAGCTAATTTTTTGCTGCAGTCTTGAATGCAGTAAGGCAGGGAAGCTGGGAGCTGAGGCTCCTGTGAGGATCTCTCTTCAAATGCTGACTTGCATCCTATTAAACATTATAAAGATGGTTTTAGCCTGGTTTCTCAGCGGGAGATTTTGGCTCTGGATTTGGAACAGAGGAGGGATGTCATGGGGCAGAGATGAAGCTCGGTGGTTCTAACTGAATCTTGGATCAGAAGGCTGAAATCACCCAAGATGGGTGATTTCCTCCCAGGCTGTTGGCTCGGCTCACTCTGGGCAGGTGAAGTTCTCTTGCCCAGCACAGCAGCAGTTGGGTAACAGCTAACGTGCATACAGCTGCCCGTTGGGAGGGGAGGTTTGGGATTCCTGTGCTTTCCCACAGCTATGTTTAGCTGCTATTTCATGTTTTGCTGACCTGATTCTCAGCCAGTCCCCTTAGAGGAAGTGAACTAAATGGTTCACATCAAAGTGAATTTTACCCTGAAAAGAAAAGGCCTCATGGCAGGGGTAAGGGAGTGTGAGGACCAACAGCCCTTGACTTCTGTGTCCTAATGAGAATTAACAACCAAAGCAATGACTCGACTGGTCAGCAGCTGTGTGCTAGCATGGGGCAGCTGGCCCTGACATCCTGCCCTGCTTTGGCTCCCAGTGATGGGCTCACTGGCTGCACGGCTGGGGCGCTGCTGTGGGTGCTGCCCAGACTTTGCAGTGACATGAGGGAAAGATGCATCTTATATATATTAGGGGCTGAATTCAGAGCTGGTTTTTGGCTTTGTACCGTATGTGTATCAATCAGTAAATTATGGGCATGCTTCAACATATGCTTATGCCCCAGCCTTGGGAACAAGGAAGCAGTTTTGGCAGCTGTAGGAGCGTAGAGCTGCTTTGCCCTGAACTTTGCAAAGGTTTTCCTCTGAAAACATCCACAGAGCATTGTCTGCTTCAAGCTGCAGGCAGGCTTGGACAAATCCCGACTTGGCATAGAGTTAATACAGCTGCTCCCCTACAGTGGTGACACTGACTTTTGAGAGAGTATGCTGCTAACTGTCCCTTTTCCTTGCAGATGCAGGAGTGATTGAGAGAGAGAACTTGCCCCCTCAGAAGGAGACTGTCGTCCAGGAACCGATGGTAAGTAATGCTGTCATTTGGATGCAACCCTAGCTCGGAATAAGAATCCAGCTGTCGATGCTTTCCCAGAAGTTTCTACAGCATGCAACTCCAAACTCCTTGGTTCTGGTGGGATTCAGAGGGATAACAGAGTGGGAGCTTTGTTTTCAGAACCATTAACAGGCTTGAACAGCCACTGAAGTGCTACAAGCCAGCACTTCCTGGTGAAGGCAGCAAGCCTTCTGTCTCCCAAGGGGCTGTCCCACCAGTATTCACCAGGAGATTTTCTTCTCCAGATGCCAGATGATGCTGCGGATCCTGCCCAGGATCCCAATAACCAAGGTGAGGATGAGTTTGAGGAAGCTGAGCTGGAGCGACCTGACTTTGAAGAGAAGGTGGGAGGTTTGGAGAAGTTCAAGGAGCCCAGCGTGAAAGACGAGTCTAAGGAGAAGCCACTGAAGGTGACTGACCTGAGGGTAACCAGCAGGGGCCGGGGAGAGAGCCCCAGCTGTGAACGGGGGGAGGCAGAGAGCTTAAGGAGAACCTCGTGTTCCTGGATGGATCCGTAATCCCCCTGTGAGGATATGGCAAGCAGGAGAAGCCTCTTTCTGAGTGGGAATCGGTGGGTTGGTCAGTACCAGAACTTGTTCTGGCCCTGTCCTTGCTGCCTGTTGAAGTCAGCCCACGCCTGCCTGGCTGGAGAGGTGTTGAGGAGGAGATGGCTCGCTCCGCAGCTCTTTCTGCAGAGGTGCTGTGTCTTTTCAAGCACTTGAGAGACCCAAACCAGAGTTGGCTGTTCCTGGGGTGGGCACGCAGCAGGTTCTTGGCAGCAGTGATGACACGTGAGAGCTCTGCCTCCTTGGTTGCTTGCTTGTGGATGGAATCCATTTATTTTGCAAAGTGCTTCTTGCTGTCTGAAGCCAGACTCTGCATCAGGGACGTGTTATCTTGTTTTGACAAGCAGCTGAGTGTTGCTTATTTTAAAAAGGAGTGTTTTATCTGTCAGACTCTAAAATCATGATTAATAGTGAGGGGTTTTAGAGGAAAAAAAAAAAAAAAAGAAATCCAGGCCAATTAAATCAGAGATGCTGGCACCAACAGGGCAACACGTCCTTAAGAGTTGTGAAAATGTGGAAAGAATTGGGGAATTAGTGACATAAATACCTGATTTTCAGATAGAGCTGTGCTGACACCCTAAAGCTCTGCCCTAAGGAACGTGCAGACTCCCTGCAGCCCTGGGGCTTGATGCAACAGCAGCAGGAGGGACCTTCCTGCTGTGGGAGAGACATTGCTCTCCATTGTGGAAGGAGCTGGGCAGTTGCTGCCAGCAGGTGGGAAGAGAGACTGGATGGAGAAAGTACAACTGGGCTTTGGGTTGCCTGATTCTCTCTGCTCCCCAATTCCTGACTGTAGCCCAGTTTTCCAGACCTGGGGCTGTAATGCACGAGAGCTGTATCCCTGCCAGAGAATGGAATTAGCGTGGGGCACTGTCCACCGTGTCTGACCTTCTGTATTTTTCAGGATGCTGGCAGACCTGCCAAGCCCAGGGAAGACCCAATGGATGACTATCAAGAAGATCAGGAGCAAGAAATTGTACGACACCAAGGTTCTTCCTCTTTCCCTCTCTGGTGTGATTGTTACCTGGGTATGTTGGTAGCCTTGGAGCTGAGTATGACTCAGCTTTTAGGAAACCAGATGTGAGCAGTTTTGTCTCTGCCTGCTCAGTGAGGTGCGTCTCCAGAACAAACCTGGAGCCCACTTACCCCTGCTCCCTTTTTCAGGTGTTCAGGGCACCCTTTATGCTCTGTCTCCCCTCCTCACTTCTTTCTGTATCAATCTGTGGTGATTGAGCTGTGAGCTGCTTACAGAGCAGCAGCTGGGGTGAACCTCAAGCTGTGCTGGTGCAGCTCGGCAAGATCAGGATGTTTCTCCATGTGTCACCCTGGGTTTATTCCTGTGGTGAGACATTCACTGGGAGCCCTGTAACTGGCTGCTGCACGGGTCCTGCTGGGTCTGTCCCGTGTCTGTGGGAAGAGCTGGGGAGGACGACATGTGTGCTCTGAGAAGGGCTGTTGGGTTACAGCCAGCAAGTCGAACAGAAGTATGGGTGGCAGAAGAATGGGACGTCCTGCTCCCGAAGCAAGGGTGGGAGGTGGTGCATTGGTGGGGCCACAGTTGCCAGGAAGCAGCTGCTCCTCTGTTTGCCTGAAGACAGGTATTATTGCTGTGTCTGAGCCCCAGGACTACTGTAGGCAGTGATAAGTTGGCATTCCTCTAGGAGAAAGATTGGAGGCCACCAAGGGTGGAGAGCATGAGTACTAGAGAGGATCACCCTGGTGCCCTCTGGCTCACATAAACAGAAGTGAAGGATCCTCTTCCACTCCTCTCCTTTCCCTTTGTGAGTGGTTGCTGGTGGCTTTTTCTGCAGTTCCTACATGACGGCTGAGGAACGGAGGGTTTGGGCTGTCTGCTGGGAGTGAAGGGGATGGGAAGATACGGGGTGGGCAGAGCAAAGTTGATGTCAGGAGCTATCCTTGCCTTAGGTGCAGAACCTGGCTTGTCCACTGGGTAGTTGGACCTAAAAGTGCCCAAGGAGGCCGTGCTGGCTGCTGCGCATCACGGGTGGGATTTGTTACAGAGTGTTAGATGCAGTGGATGTAGGATACCTTCTACTCGTGTAGCAGCAGCAGCAAGCCGAGATGTTAAAAAGGCATTGTAATGCCAGGGTATTAAATGTGCTTAAAATGAACAGGTTGATGATGGTTACACAGGCTGCTTACCCCTGTGTCTTGCCAATGACACCTAAAGGTCCCTGGAAGAGACAGATTCTTCCCTGTTTTCCTGAGTTTCCCAAGCTGGGCTGGTGTAACAGCTGTACTCGGAAGCAGCATGGTGTGCTGGTGGTCAGGGTCTCCTTTTCCAGGCCTTGCTGATTTTTTCCTTCCTGGCTGTTCCCTCTGCACCCAGGAGGATCATGGAGGTGAGGTGGATGACAATGATGACCTGGAACTTGTCCAAGACCAGAAGGACCATGCAGGCATACAGGGAGCTGATGGCAAGAAGGACATCTACTACTGAAAGATGAAGGCAAATGGAATACGCTAGGAATGAGGAGATGGGAACTGGCTCCTGTATCAAACACTGCCCAGAACAGGCAAAGGCAGGAGGAGAGAACTGTCTTCTCAGGCACTGAGCAGAGTGCTTGCAGATGTGCATCTACGCGTGCGGGGCCGTGGCTGCCTCTCCGGTCAATAGCATGGAAGTGCTCTCGGACTGTAGGGGTGATTTTATCCTGCTGCTTCTCTTAGAAGCACTTTTTGATTTGTTGTGTTCTTTGCCCTCTTGTTTTCCCTATCCCCTCCCACACTGGAGAATTTTTTTCTTACGTTTTTTTTAACCCCCTGGGCAGCAGAGGGGTGCCTGGACTGGTCCTTGGACTTACTCGACTGATTGCTAATACAAAGGAATCTATCTTCATAAAATATTTTGCTCAGTAGTGTTTCTTTAAAACAGTCTTTGCTCCCATCAGAGTAAGGTGGAGAGGAAGTTAGCCCGCTTTTTGTCTGGAGTAATGCAAGGGTGATAGCTGACCATGAGCACCAACAGAGCCAGCGTGTGTGTGTATGAATGCCTGGATTCTCTTCTGGTGCAGAGACCCTTCCCGGTGACTCGGAGTGGAACCCGGTAGAGTTTTCCTTTCCTTGGCTTTGAGCTGTGACTGTCCTGCTGGGCTTGGAGCCTCTCCATCTCATGCTGTGCATCTTGTCCTGCTGCTGCGTTCCTGGAGGTGGGGCTGGCTCGTCTGCTGTGGTGACAGGAACTGCCACACCCCAAAGCACTGCGACCCTGCAGAAACCACAGGTCAGCAGCTCCGGGGGATGAGGGGCTTCATGGTGCCAGTCCCTCTGATGGGAAATTCTTTTTACTTTGTGTAGCGTTTTGGTGGTGTGGATGCCCCCAGTGGGACACGGAACAGATTTTGGAAAGGGCCAAACTATCCACTGCTTAAAGGTCTCAAATCCAGGCTGGGCGCAGCCATCCGCTTCTGTGCGGGGGGGGTGTGCTGAAACATTACTACTGTGTGATGGAGCTGCAGCATCCCGGCAGAGCTGTCCCTACTCTGCCCTCCTCAGGCTCTCGGTGGAATGTTTCAGAGCATATGCCAGCCTGCATCTGCCCCCCGTAACCTCCTCTCCCTCCCTATCTTCCTGACACACACTCAGCTTCTGGCACCTCCCTAGGGTGTCCAGGTTGTTCAGGATTCCCAGGCAAGCATGAAAGGAAAAAAAAAAAAAAAAAAAAAAAAAAGTATTCACGTTGGTAGACACAAAGGAATATTTGGAGCCTGACTAATGCAATTCCATCCTGTTCAGCTTCTTTCCAGTCTCCCAGCATTTGACAGGGAGCTAAGATAAATTTTGCTCCTTCTAGACAGGTCTGGTTTTTAACCAGCAAGTTGGGTATTTCTAGTGTTCTGTTGATTCAGTAGATTGAAATCTGCGGTGCTTTACTTAGACTCCAAAACACATCTTTGCCTGACCTCAGACAGAAAGAGCTGGAGTCCCTGGAATTTAAAATGGAGGCAGCTGAAGGAAGTCTGGGCTTAATCACGGCATCTCAAAGCCTGGGACCTGGTTTAGTCATACGAGCAGGGCAGAGCTGTCACATCTCCTGCCTTGTGCAAGACCCGTGCATCTGAGCTGTCTCCTCCTTCCTCATCACCATGTCAGAAGTCCTGCACTCTGGGACCTCGCTCATCAAACGCAGCTTGTGGCTGAATGTCACGACCTGATAAAAGATCAAAGGAGAGATTTTTTTGCTCCCTACTTGACTTAGTTAAACTTTTCTTTAATCCCTTGCTTAGGGACACATTTTGTAAGCACTTTTAGACACTTCAAAAAACAACATTTCCAAATAAATTTGGTCTTTTTTTATTCAGACAGTATTGATTTTTTTTTTTTCCTCTTCCACTCGTTCTAATGGAGCTTGAAATGAATGTATCATAGGACTTTTTGGTTCTTTGTTTTTATTCTGCTTGTGTTTCTTACCAGCACAATTAGCCGTGCAGGTCAAGCCCTGGGGTATAGTGGAGTAGTTAATGTGGTTGGCTCTCTGCTTGCGTTGTTGGAAGCAGCAAGAAATCTGCTTTTGCAGATGCTGCCCTTTGTAGACCTACAGCATCAGGTCAGCTGGATGGTACTGCTGGTTAGTACAGAGTCCAGTAGAATTGCCTTGTCAGGACCTCACAGACCTGATCTGCTGCTTGCTGGAACTGGGGAGGACGTACTTGTGCACCACAGACCATGAAGAGCCTCATGGCAACAGATCTGAACTGTGTGTTCCAAACCCCAGTGAGAATACAGAACTCCTCACAGGTGAATACCGATGACAGTAACTTTTGGGAGGATGTGAGTTGAGAGCAGCCCTGGCTCCAGAGCTCTGTCTGCAGCTGTGCTTAGGCGCCTTATCTCAGCTAAAGTCAAAGGCAGAGCACCCCAGCCCCGGCCACTGTAGAGCCGTTTGTCAGCAGCAGTTCAGGAGCAAGCCACCACTTCAGATGAGAGAAGCTTTCTCAGGCCTGGAAAAGAGCATTCAATCTGCCAGAGCATTCTCTGTATACTGCTTTTTTTTTTTTTTTTCTCTCAGCTTTCTCCTGGATCAGAAATCCAGAGTGATCCAGCTCCTATTTCAATTAAGCTTCATTTGAGAGCTTCAGCAGAACTGAATTTATAAAGATTTTTTTTTTGATCTTTCCATTTTGTATCACTCCCTAGACTAGCCTGCTTTAAGTACGGAGGTATGCAGGCCTCAGTGTGCACCTAGATCTCCAGAGAAGACAAATGCTGATCTGGGGGCTCTGTACTCATGACACTACTTGTTTATCCTGCCCACAAAGATACCAAAGGTGCCAGAGGCTGTTCCAGGGAGTCTAGGAAAAAAGGTCCATTAGCCAAGTGCCATAGCTGCTCACGTAGCCCACTAAGGAACTCACTGCAAAAACTAGAATGGGATTTAAAATACCCCAAACGACCTGAAATGGTTAATGCTGCATTAGTGCTTTGTGTTACCAACCTTGCTGTACGGTGTGATACTTCCCAGCCTCCCCTGTCTGCTATAAAAAGCACATTCTGAACAGATGAGCTGGAGTTGCAGTTACCGGTTCGGATAAATCCTGATCAAAAATGCCCCCTGTTCTCAGCTGGGCTGGTGAGATGTTCCTGTTTCACAGGTCAGTGCAGGATCAACGACCAACACGGTCTGTGGCCCGGGCACCAAACCTGCTTGCCCAGGCTGCCCCGGGGTGTGCCCCAGTGGTACGGCCATCTGGCTGCTGGGTCTCCCCCCTCTTCCACGCCTCTCTTAGCCTGTGACTGTCGGAGGACGTAAGTTCAGCCCTTGCTGGAAGTGAATCAAGTGCTGGAAATAGAACCCCGGTGGGGTGCGACTGCATGCTGATTCAGAGAGACTGCGGGAGCTATCTAAATTAGGAGGCAAATTATCTGCTTTTGCATGTCTAGGATGAGTAATCCTCAAAGTTATGACTTGGAGGGAGCTGCAGCAACTCAGCTCTAAATGTAAAGCTCCCTGCTATGAGGATGCTTTAGCACCATATGTCGCCTGCTGCCCTTAGCTGAGAGCTCAGCATCTCTGCTCTAGGGATTGTCTGCCCTGGCTGGATCCAAGACTAAAATTAGCACAGTGCTGAATAAATTCGTTAGCTGTGGGTGGTCAGTTCTTCCTTCTCTGGCCTGTAGCAAGTTGCCCCCATTTTAATACTGTAATAGTTCACTGTTTCCACTAACAGGAGATGAAACAGGAGAACCAGTGGAGGAGAACCAGAAAGCTTGTGGTGTTGGGTCTGTCCAAAGGCCTGTAAAGCAGTTTTGATGTGCTGCCTGAGGGCTGGCTGCTTAAAGCAAGAACTGGTGTTCTGCCTGAGCAGTGAGCTGCTGAAGCCATACACCTGAGAAGTCCAGGCTGAGTGTTATTGCAGACTGGGGCACAGAAGGAGGTCGTAGGAAACAGCTGGATTACTAAGAGAGCAAAGAATGAGACAGAGTATTCCTATGAAGCCAGTGCTGGCAGACCGACGGAGCCAAAGCATGTGTTTTTGCTTGTGTCTTGCATAAATAATCATCTTTTGCTTAGAAACGTAGTGCAAGGTCAAAGGACACAGTCCAGGACAAAGTTAGTTAACCTGTAGTGTTGCAATTTTTTTTGATGGGTTGCTGTCTATTTTCCTTTGGACTCCAGCAAAATAATGTAGATTAGATTTCTGTAAGCAAATACATTTCCAGGGGTTCACGGATGTCAAAATATTAAGTGGTTTGGCCTCATCTTTAGCCAGATGATGAGAATTAATAGTACATTCTGTGCCATTACAAATAAAGGCTTGGGTGAGGAAAACATATGCCTGTGGATTAGTTAAATGAAATCTCTGTTTAATGAAGCCTATTTCTCTGTAATCCACTTCTTACTTGGAAACCTGTTTAGGATTATTAGGCTCATTCATTTACCATGGCATTTTCAGGGGTTAAAATGTGACAATCTGACGGGAGTTTAATGAGATGTTTTCCCTGAGACATCTGAAATAGTTGGAGGAGAAAATGCTCCAAACTCTTGCATGCTGCAGGTGTGAAGTGTCTGCATATCCCCAAGCCAGGAACGTCCCCTCATTTCTAATTATATAGAGAGAGACTTGCTGAAGAGGAGCAGTTGTTTCTAAGGATGACTGTTCGTGTTCTGTACAGTTTGAGTGAGACTGGCTGTTGTAAAATTTAGGGATTAAATACGACTCGAACCTAGACTGATGGAGTACAGGCCTGCCAGGGAATGAACATCCTTCAGTGCTCATTCCTTCTTTGCACCTCGCAGTATGTCTTCACCTCAACCCACATCTCTCTTGGTGCCGTTTTACACTTGACCACCCCTGGAGTGAAGCCTGCCAATTCTGCTGAACCCTGAGCTGCTTTACTGTTAGAGACTATCGAGATCCGTGGAGAAGATGAGGTAGGCGTAAGTATCGCTGACGGGTTGGCGTGTTCTGTATCCTTACATTGATGTGCCTGAAGAAAATCGAAGGAATATTTTTATCCAGAGGTCTTGTTTTAAGAAGACTCTGGGTCTCCAGTTCAAGGATTAAGCCAAAAAGTCTGAGCAGGACAGCGATGGCACAAGGACATACTCAGTGGTTTTTGTGGTCGTTGAGGTCAGTTGGCTCTTCTGTTCAACAACAAACCTGTTCCAGCCTGTAATCACAGGACTAGTGGTTCTGATCCTAATAGGTAAATGGCTAAATGGAAGTCGGGGTGTGGGTGTACCACTGCCTTGCATGAGTCAGAGGTTCGGGGAGAGTAGGATTATCTATTCCAGTTCCTGGTAACTCTGGCAGTCGTTCTGGGAGACGTTTGAGGAGGCTTCCACAGCTTTCCGTGAGCTGAGGTATCCCCGGTTAGCTTGGTTTTCCCTCTTCTACCACTTCAAATGCAAGTATGGAAATAAATCCAGAGCTAAAAGATGTTTAAGGAGGCAAAACTTGCTTGGTCGAGCTCCAGCCGTCTCCTGAACACCCCCACATTTCTCAGGAAGGGCTGTTGGATCTTCAGTTTTGCATTCTAGCTGGAATTTCCACAGGTAAGTTTGCCTCAGCCACCAAGAAGTGCCTTCAGCAGCACAGCACCGCCTATTGCTCCGTGATGCCAAGGGTTTTCTGAGGAGAGCAGCCATCACTGCAGCTTCAGCATCCTTTTCTATGCTGAAGCTGGTTTTCCATTGATTCCTATTGATACCTCCTGGTAGCAAGAGATTTCTAGCAAGTTTCTTTAGCAGACACCCCCTAACATTAAATTTGGTTAAAAACCAGATGTGGAAATAACTTATAATACTTGGTATTGTTAAGTTTTTGTTTAAAGGTTTCCTTAAATGTTTTACTTTAAAAAAGGTGAGTCTTGCAGACAGGAAAAGTTGTCCTGACATGAAACTGTCTGGTCACGTTGATGGTTGAATGCAGCAGAAAACAAAACTATTTAAACAAGTTCCACACTGCTGCGAATTACACTTTGTATATATATTCAAGTTCAGTGAAGTCCAACGTGTATGATTTGGGTTTGATTTTCTGTTTAGGCTATGAAATAAAAGCAGGTTTCAGAATCTTATTTTTGTTATATTTTAAACTTCTGTAAGGCAATAAATATTTTTAAAGAAAACTTGTAGATCTTGTATTTCCAAACAGGTAACAGTGGAGAAAAACGACACCGAAGTGTTTAGGCATATTGC